CCTGTTTCTCTCTCTATATATAAATCACTTTTCTGCAAACAAAGAAAAAACAAAGACCATCTCATACAGGGAGCCAATCCCACTGCAAGGCTGGGGTCTCCCCACTCCACGGTAGCCTCTAGCTACTGGACTTCAGAGAAAGGCCTTATTCTTTGGGCCTCTTACTATCATCTCTAGACCTTTCTCTAGCTCCTTGACTTGACAGGGCTGAGCTGGGGAACAATGACTCATGGGATCAGCTCATTGGAACCTGAAAGGATGGTGAGGAAACCATGGGTCAGCAACCAGTCAGAAACTCGGAATATCCAGATGCAAGGGGTCAAGGCAAGACATTGGGTCAGAAATCCGAAAAGTAATAAAAACCTCAACAGTGTGGCACTTGGAGAGAGCTTCTTTCTTCCAGATTCTTTCTCTCTGGGAGAAACCGCACAACACTGCCATTATGTCAAAAGTCTATCACAGGCTCCACCATTCTTCTAATTATGATGCCTTCTCTTTTCTCATTCACAGCAAATGACTGCAGCTCCCCATTCCGACATCACAGCCCAATGGCAACTGTCCCCTCTCCATGCCACAATTCGTTAGATTGTTTTTCTAAATCTCTTTGCCTCTCCCTCTCTGATTTCTCAGGTCAGCCCTTTTATTTATCTTCCTTGTCCCAGGCCAGCCATCAGGCTTAACTACTTTGCAGGTCCTTGGCAGTTTCTCCATCGCTTAACCTCTTCTATACTCTCATTCATCTAATTGGACACTGAGAGTCTTCTTTGAATGTCATTTAAATCATATTACTAAGCCTTCAAAGCTACACTTGTTCCTTCCTTAATTGCCTTTCAAACTAAATCTCTTGCTAATAGGATGGGAGAGTTGGAAGGAACGTCAGAGGCTATTTTACAGATAACAAAACTAAGACTCAGATTAAGATGCTTCTTCATGGTTATGGTAGGCTTTTAGGCACCTCACTCTTTCCAAATTGCTCTTTTCTAATTTACAATTCAACCTAAATCCTACCCTCTCGTGCCTCTTCCATTCGTACATCCTTTCCCCACAACACAGTGTACTTTAGAAACTGTTCATCCTCTACAACCTCTCATGACGAGCCTGCTAGCCAGCACAGATCATGCCAGGTAGCAGCTGTTGGGCAGTTTGGTTTTTGGTACCTTCATTAAATCAGGACTTGGACTCTCCTACAAGCTCCTGCCCACCAGGACTACTGCTTTGCTACCGCTGCCTCCTCACGCCTGCCTCTGCACAGAGGCATCTGATCTTTGGCAGGGTAGGTGAAACACTGGTAAAACATGCTCTTTCTCAGATAGAACTTACTTTGAGACTGTAACTAAAATCATGTGCCCCACAGGTGTTTGTTCACGTGCATACAGACAGATGTATGTATATATGTATATGTATACCCACCTACATACTTATACAGAGAAATATATATAATGAATATGTACATATTGCATTTTAACACACAAAAGTCATAAAACGTTTTTTCCATAGAGAGAGGGTCTTGCTATGTCGCTCAGGCTGAACTGAAACTCCTGGGCGCAAGTGGTCCTCCCACCTCAGCCTCCCAAGAAGCAGGGGCTACAGGCACTTGCTACCATGCCTGGCTCTGAAAAATGTTGTAACTTTTTACACTCTTGATATCATCTATAGGAATTTTACTATATTCATTTTTTCCCTGATAAGTTCCTGTCGCCCAAAATGCAATGTGTGTATACATAACATTTTCTTATTTTTCCTGTTCTCTGAAGTTCTTTCCTCTGGTATCATTCTTTCCAAATTTCCACCTGTCCTTTATCCTCAACAGAAATACAGCCCATCATCCAGTCTATCATCCCTCTTGCCTTTTCCTTTTCCATACAAGTCCATTTTGAAAGTTCTCCACAGGTAATTTCTGCTGATATAATCCATGATCTGGTAAGATGACAAGACTAGATATGGTAGCTGAATTTAGCTGGAGGTAGATGAAAAGAGGAAGGGACTGTGTAGCAATGACAGGAAGGATCTAGCAGCACCTTGCCGAAATTGACAATGGGCATAGCTACTCAAGCGAGGTGGTGTGCACCACCCTTAGATGAAGAGTCCAGTTTAGGGGGAGCATCCAGGAACGTCTATCAGATAACCAGTTACTAGCATAGGGAACAGTTACAGATTTGTCAAATCACTTATTTTGTGCATTCTGAAGGACCATGAAAAGGGAGGGAAAGCTGTAAGCAGACTTTTAGAAAAAAGACTAGAGAATAGAAGAAAACATGAACTGTGTTTGAGACAGCCTGAGGTGTGGCAGAGACCCCATTTACGCTTGCTTCCAGTAGCTCTGAATACTTGTAATATCACCTGTGGTGTATCTCCACTGACAGCTGTGACTGCTATTTTCATTTTGAAATTCAGCTGTTCCTCTGCAAATCTGGACACAACATTTTAGGCATGTTCTGAAGCGTGACTCATGGTACTCTCCATAGGCTGAACCTCTTCAGTATTCTTTTCAATTAGTGCTCTGCTTCCTGACCTACTGGATATTCACAGACCAAGATGCAAGATTAAGACCACAGGCAATTTGAGAAGGTAGAAATCCCAGCCAAGATATTTGGCAAAAAGCACTAGAGCCACGAGAGGCCTAGGGAGAAAGGTAAGGAGATTTAAAACGCAAGTGCCAAAGTTTGACTTAATATAAAAGAACATATCAGTTAGACAGCACCATTCCTTTCATTAACAAGCATGACTAAAATGTTTGCAACTCCTGCTGGTTTGCTATCAAGCTGGGACCTCACCGGCGATAAAGGGAAGAAGGAAATATGTAAGCTGTACAAGCATCCTAAGAAATAAAAATTTATCTTCAGGATGTAGGTGCTGGATCATTTGATTTGCAGAACATAATTTTATCACTAGTTACTCACTATTAAAGTATACACCTTGTAGACAAACTTTCGCACTAAATAATTGTGATTTTATTTTCTTCCACAAATACAAAGCTTTGCACCACACCGTGGTAGTGTTCTAGCACAAGAAAAATCCCAAGGTTTTCATGGAGGGGAAGTGGAAAAGGGTGATTTATAGGCTGATTTCATCGTTCTTAAAATATTAAATAAAAATTTCATGACAAAGTATGCCAACCTTGTATAACATGCAGATTATTGCTTAGAACTTGCATATACTTTAAAATGGCACACATAAAATATACAAACATTTCAAAAATGTTAATGGAAACAACTTATTTATTATCCCTCCAAATAAAACAATCAGGAAACAAAATACAGAATGCTAAGTTGCTATTTTAAGAACTGATAAGTCCTAGTAACACTGATTCATAAATTAGTCATACATTTGGTAAATAAAAGTTCTTCAGCCTTATGGAAATAAATTCAAAAGTATGTTCTCAAAATAGGATTAAGTATACTTTAAAAGACTTCCAAAAATCTTTGACAATTATATATTATACATTCTCAGAAAAAAGTATTTATCTCTCTATCTCTATATATCTATATATGATATATATAGATATATATCTCTCTCTATATATATATCACTATAGCTCTATTTACTGGTTTCCAATTAACTTTTTCAAATAAAATCTAAATGCCATTATTACAAATTCTAATACCAAAAAGAAAATCTCATATCTTATCCTATTTACAAGTTAGAGTATTATCTACACAAAATTCCTTAAGTAAAAAGTGGACAAAGTCACACCAGAAACAAACCAAGCAGGAAACAGAAAAACACAGAGCACATTCCATGTACAGCTATAGCTTCAGGCTTGTTAAGTAACAGATAACCCTAATGTACACTTAATTACACAAAGAATTACATAAAGATAGAAAGAAAAAATATACAGAGGATGTTTAATGAGTTTGCAGCCAGAGGTACTGTACTTATAAATCTTTGAGATTTAGAAATATTTCTGGTATTGGTCTTATGTATAGGTCCTGATATCAAAACGGTCTGCTGCTGAGTCAATAAGTGTAAATGTTTTCAATGCAAACAAACCAATCTTTAGGAGCTGCCTTCAGTTCTCCACTGCTATCCAAAATATCTACCAATAAAGGTATGGATTATTATCAAAGCCTAGAAAGGGGTAGGGGGTTCACGTCCTTGGGTGTTGTACTTTGGAAAACACCAAGTAACGCAGTGGCTGGTAAATCTGTTTTCAAAGAAACATTACCATAGCAAAGTTTTTCCTGAAGAGCAGGACTCTAAAGTCATTCTGCCACAAGCCAGCACCCACCCTCTCATAATACAGCGTTATCTCCATTCCTCCGTGCTTCCGTCATGGGGTCTAAGAAGAACATTTAGATAATTTACAAGCCTATAATAAATCTTCAGCTGAAACACATTATTACAAAGCTCTGATTGTTAAACCAGTTTAAGAGAAAGAGAGACGACAGATGTCTCTTAATAAAACCACAACATTATTAGCTTTGCCTCTTGTTGTAAACAGGTATTATTAAATGCTGAATGGCTTCCTGTAGTCTCTCAATAAGTCATGGTTGGTCTGAGCTCTACTTAAACTTTACTGTTTTTTTTTTTCAGTAAGAGAACCTATTTGTAAACTTTTAAATTTGCCATGAGACTGGGAAGCTTACAGATATATGGGGAGGTCACAAAAGTTGACAGAGAAAGGTGTTAGCATGAAAGAGGGAGATGCAGATGAAGTCCTCTGGGGTATCAGGAGGAACAGATGGGAGAATTCAAAGAGAAAACTTCTAGATGGAGGGAAGACTATCAGGGCATTTCAGGGAAAAGCACTCTCAATGCCTCCTCTAACTCTAGACCCTCTAGCTTTTCATTGTTCCTACACACATCACATGTGTTTTGCAGCAGGACTCACTTTCAGTAGCTTTTGTATTTAAATGATCTGTGTTTAGGGTTAGGAAGGTCTATATGCACCCAGAGACACAGGAACGGTCTCACTGTATGCTGGCTTGCACTTGCTGAGAAACACTGTGCTACTTTTGATAAAATTATCTAAGTTCATGTCTTATGGAATCCAAAACACATAAAAATACATAAACTTTTATTAAGTATTATTGATGTTTCCATTTCAGCTAATAGACTAAACCACTTAAAGCCATTCAAATGCACATCAATCTAAATGTCTGGAATTAAGAGCAACCTAGAAACAGAAGTCGTTCAAATATTTATTTTAATAGCATCTTTTGGAACATGTTTATTTCCCTTAAAAATGACACAGAAGAAACACGTACACTGCAACAACACTTTCCCCTGTTTCTCCAGAAGAAAAACATGTCTGCAAGCCTGATAACAGATGGTGCAACCAATAGTAAACCTGGCTCTCCACACCAGTGAGGAACCATTCTCCAAACGCCCAGTGTGCCTTGGAGGAAGTATACAATTTAAAAGTTGACCGTGTAGCAAAAATTGTGAGTCAAATTATTAAAATTCAAAAAAGAACTGGATTCAAATACTTACAAACTAGGCAGTTTTTAAAACTAGACCTTTAAGACAGTCCTGGGTCATCCATAATATATCAGAGTCACTCTCAAGGGTGGTAACAACATAACTATTATTTCACTTAACATAAGGCTAGTCCATGAAACAACAACAAAAAAACAGTTGGGATAAAAATTTAATTCAACTTACTAGAGGGTATCAAAACATACTTGAGCAGAGGTTAATTTGTTTGCACTCATATATAACTCCAAGTTTTATATAAATGCAAATAATCCTTTAAAAGACTTTAGACATACATAAGAAGGCAAACTTTATAAGCTAAAGCTCATAATTTTTAACATTTCACAAATAAAAATTTAATGCAGGATCTATGATCTTGCATGCTATTAGTTGGTTTTCATTTGTTTTTAAGTTTCACGAGAGCTTTATTTTCTAGGATACTACACATTCAAAGAACTTTATAATTACAGGTTGTCATTTTTTTCTACAAAAATAGAATTGCTTAAAAATTTATATCAATTTGCTTTAATTTTTCTATAAAGATTTTAATAGAGTTGTTAAATATCAGAAAGCCTGAATCATTTAAATTAATCTGTGTAGTCAAAATACTTAATATTTAAAATGTCTAGCAAAAGTTTTTAATAAATGAAAAATTCATCGTTTAGTAAATGATATGTTCTGTCTTCATCTGTATTTTAGGTAGGTGAATACAATCATAGAACAGCAAACTGTACCTCTTGCAAAGGTCAGACTTAAAGTAGCAGGGCAGTTTGTAGTGGCATTTCCATTCCATGTCTGTTGTATGAGGAAATATATAGAACCCACTTTAGGATATTTAATCTGGATGTTGAATTAACTGTCATGCAGGCAGCATAAGATGGATTGCTGAACAAGGGAATCACAAACTTTGGTTCAAAATTTTGATATTTTAAAGATACTTACTTTGTGAGTAGTTATACCAGTGAAGGGTAATGTTAATGAAAGTAAGAATAAAGTTTTAAGCATGAAACAGTAACTATAAAAACAAATTGTTACATGGAGACTCACTAATATAGCTTTATATTGTCTTCATTTTGATAGTGGGTTTAAAATCTGTTCGGAACTATAGAAAAATCCAGAGTCAAAAAATATTTATCTCAAGGTCTTTTGCTAAAAGAATGGATTTCCAAAACAGTTTTATTATATAAGTATTATCCTTTTTTTAAAAGCCACTTTTCCCGCAAAAAGGTAAGAACAAGATAAAATCACTTGCTTTCCTACCCGCCTCTAGATAACCAGTACATATTTAAGCGCCTATGATGTGGACAGCACTAAATTTAGCAACAAATTATCAGTGTACTATTAGCTGCTTTAAAAATAACTATATTTTACACTAATTCCTTCACAAATAAATGTACCTAGTATAAGCCAATCAATCTCATTTAATCATTTAGTTATTGACTGAGATTTTATCCTCTTTAAACATTTTAAAACTTATCAGGCTCTATCTTGATTGGATAATCAAATCAAAAGTCTTGATTATATTCGGCTAGCATGAACAATGAAAGTGAGTCAAATATTCTCCTTCAAACTGAGAAACTGAATGGATTAGATCTTTTGGTATGAGTTCAATTAATTTCAAGTATTCATCACTGGTTGAATTAAGTTTCTTTCTCAGGTAAGAATAATCATTAAAGTCAAGTGCTTAAAAAATAAATAAAGGCAATAATAAATATATAATTCTATATTTGGATTGCAAAGTAAAGGCAACACACATACACACAGGAGAGTCGCCGTTTATCTTCATATAATCAGACAATAATTTTGATGATAGGATACTTGGATTAAGTTACCTTATTTTTCTCTGTGCTTTAAGATAGAAATTCAAAGCACTAAAATGCCAACTAAGCAAGCACGGGTGTAAATTGTGAGTAAAATATGAATACTGATTTTTTGTAATAGTTTGGGTCTCATCAAGAAGAGGCCTATTTCAGGAGCATAATAAATATGTATTGCATAAGACTTTGGTACTGATGATGCTGGGTTCAGAACTCAGGGAAGACTGTACAAACAGAAAAGGTTTTTCACACAAAAAAAGTGCAAGGAAAGCAGATAGGGATAGTGTTAAAGCTTTTTTCCTTAATGATTCCTTCTATTAGCCTAAATAATCCACTACTGACATGCATTTTTAGAAAAAGAAATTCATCTCTTAAGGAGGTGTCTCATAATCTGTCTTAAGCCTGACTGTAAAAGAAAAAAGCAATAATTTGATAAAATGCTAAAATCAAAATAAGAAAGTGATATTTGAAAACTCTTAAAATGCGGGAAGTATTTTCCATGACTAATTAAATATTCCCAAAGTGGTAAAATATTTCATCATTAATAGGTGATTGCATGTCTGAAATGAAAAATGTTATTACTTCTGAATAGCCTGAGAAGAACATGCCAACAATTTATAGAAATTAAACCCCACACAGGTGTTGGCAGCCATAGTAAGAAAAGAGTACATACAACAAATATTAAGAGCTATTTACAGATTTAAAAGCAGTTCCCATTCTTTCAGCAAAATTGGTGACATAAAACCAATTGTACCAGATTATCATAGTCATCTTTCACAGAGAAAAATACCAATGCAGGTTAAGAGATTTCTCAAAAGATTCACCACAGTATTTATCATTTTTATTTAAGCCTTTAGGATTTTTATCCATGCTTATAAATTAAGCAAAAGAAAGGCAGAAAAGACGTCTCAGGATGAAAAGTAAATTTCAGTTTCTCTTTTCTAAAGGTTAAAAAATGACATTGAAATCCTGAATAACAATTATAATTAATAAAGATACACAAGAACATGCCAAGAATTCATCCCATCAGAAGTTATAATGCTGGGTAGTAACAAAGTTTGCTTATCAGTAGCACTCCTTTAATCAAGTTTTCCATTCTGGAGATTATTTTTGGCCTTCTCTTGTCTGATGAGAGAGATGACTTTGATGCAACCTTTTGAAATTTTGATCATCCACATGACATTCATCACATCCAAAACAGCACAACTAATGATCCAGGAACACTGGATTAAAAATCCAAGCCTTATGTAAGGTTCTGTTCCATACACAGAATACATGAAGCCGTAAAGAGGAGGCATTGAGGCAATCCGCACGGTGAAGAACACTACTGTCATGAGTATTCCATTGATAACGTTAGCTTTGGAAAACTTGGGATACTTCAGAGCTTCAAAGAACCACCTGAAAAATGAATTAAAGAACATCACTTTCATACTGCATCTCTGAGAACTAACCATTTTTATTTTAGTTTTTAATTTTTAAAATTCAGTCAAGGAACAAAGGGCCTAGAAGAGCATATACAATGCTGAAAAAGAACAAAGTTGTAGGACTCACACTACCTATTTCCAAGACTTCCTATAAAGCGACAGTAATAAAGTCAGCATGGTGTTGGCAAAAGAATCAATAAACCAATAGAAGAGAAAAGAGCTCAGAAATAGACCCACACAAGTATACTCAACTGATTTTTGACAAAAGTATAATAATTCAGTGGAGAAAAAAAGACTTTTCTTTTTTTTTTCCGCTCTTGTTACCCAGGCTGGAGTACAATGGCGCGATCTCGGCTCACCGCAACCTCCGCCTCCTGGGTTCAGGCAATTCTCCTGCCTCAGCCTCCCGAGTAGCTGGGATTACAGGCACGCCCCACCATGCCCAGCTAATTTTTTTAATTTTTAGTAGAGACGGGGTTTCACCATGTTGACCAGGATGGTCTCGATCTCTCGACCTCGTGATCCACCCATCTCGGCCTCCCAAAGTGCTGGGATTACAGGCTTGAGCCACCGCGCCCGGCCGAAAAAAAGACTTTTCAACAAGCTGTGCAAAACTGTATATCCACATGCAGAAAAATGAAGTTAAGCAAAGATCTCACACCTTACACAAAAATTAACTCAAAATGGATCATAGACCTAAATGTAAAATGCAAAACTATAAAACTTCCAGAAGAAAACAGGGAAAAAAAATCTGCATGATCTTGCGTTTGGTGGTGGTGTTTTAGAAACTACACCAAAAGCATCATTCATGGAAGAAAAAGTTGGTAAGCTGGACTTTATTAAAATTAAAACTTGCTCTGTGAAAGACACAGTTAAAGAAAAGACAACCACAAACTGGGAAAAAAATATTTAAAAAATATATAATAAAGCACATGTATACTAAGTACACAAAGAGTTCTTAAAAATCCACAATAAGAAAACAACCTAATTAAAACACTGGTAAAAGAGCATAACAAACACCTGTACATAAAAGATATACAGATGAAAAATAAGCATACAAAAATGATCTTCGGTACTGTCATTAAGAAAGTGTAGTCTGGACGCAGTGGCTCACACCTGTAATCCCAGCACTTTGGGAGTCCGAGGCAGGCAGATCACAAGGTCAGGAGTTCGAGGCCTGTCTGGCCAACATGGTGAAATCCCATCTCTGCTACAAATACAAAAATTAGCCAGGCATGGTGGTGGGCACCTGTAATCCCAGCTACTCAGGAGACTGAGGCAGGAGAATCACTTCAACCCAGGAGGCAGAGGCTGCAGTGAACCGAGATCGTGTGACTGCACTCCAGCATGGGCAACAAGAATAAAACTCTGTCTCAAAAAAAAAAAAAAAGTGCAAATTTCAGTGGCTCATGCCTGTAATCCCAGCACTTTGGGAGGCTAAGGCAGGTGGATCATGAAGTCAGGAGTTCAAGACCAGCTTGGCCAAAATGGTGAAACCTCATCTGTACTAAAAATACAAAAATTACCCGAGTGTGGTAGCAAGTTCCTGTAATCCCAGCTATTCAGGAGGCTGAGGCAGAGAACTGTTTGAACCCAGGAGGTGGAGGTTGCAGTGAGCTGAGATCATGCCACAGCACTCCAGTCTGAGAGACAGAGCGAGATTCCATCTCAAAAAAAAAAAAAAAGAGAGAGAGAGAGAGAGAGAGAGAAAGGAGGCTGGCCAAGATGGCAAAACCCCATCTCTACTACAAATACAAAAATTAGCTGGGCGTGGTGGCCCATGCCTTGGGAGGCTGAGGCAGGAGAATCTCTTCAACTGGAGAGGCAGAGGTTGCAGTGAGATGAAATTGTGCCATTGCACTCCAGCCTGGGAAACAAGAGCAAGAGTCCATCTCAAAAAGAAAAAAAAAAAAAGAAAGTGTAAATTTTAGCAATGGGATATTACTATGCACCTATTAAAATAGTTAAAATCCCAAAAAACAGAAAATAAGAATTGCTGGCAAGGATATGGAACAAGAGGAACACTCATTCATTGCTGGTAGGAATGCAAAATGGTACGACCACTTCAGAAGGCATTTTAGCAGGCATAAAACTAAACATATTCATAGTGTACAAACCAGCAATCACATTCCTAGGTATTTTTCCAACTGATTAAAAAAATTTATGTCTGCACAAGAACTGCACAAATGTTTATACCAGCTTTATTCCTAGCTACCAATAACTAGAGCCATGAAGATGGATAAACATTGTAGTACATCCATATTATGGAATACTATTTAGCAATAAAAATAAACCATGAATTCATGTAATGGCAAGGATGAATCTAAAATGCTAAGTAAATGAAACCAGTCTGAAAATCCCATATACTGTAGATTCCATTTACAGACATTCTAGAAAAAGCAAAAGTACCAAGACAGAAAACAGAGTAGTGGTTGCCAGAGTTTCAGGAAGAGTGGAAAAAGGCTGAGTAGGGATATTTTAGGATGGTGAAACTATTCTGCCTAATATTACAGTGGTGGACACGTGACATTATGCACTTACCAAAACCCATACACGTACACAAAAAGTGAAACTGATATATATAAAACTTTAAAAAAATCAATTAGGAGGTTGGGGGATGCAAGGATGCAATGCGGACTGTGACAACAGATTCTTAACTATTACAAATGCATGACATAACATCCCTGAAAGGAGTAAGGTCAAAAGAGGTGCTGACCTAAGTGACTTCGAAGATGAATGGAACTGTAAGACAAAGGCAAAAGAAATTGTATACAGGCATGCACTCTAGCTCGTGGCAAAAACAATTAGCAATTCTGAAACCATTATACATGTGTATCAGGACTGAAAAAATAAATAAATTTGATGAAAAATAGTGGGAACCGGATTTCTCATTGTTGGAGTAAAAAGTTTCAGATAAGCAAGAAGAGGCTAGATTTTTTTCCATGAGATACTGGATTAGATTTGGAAACAGTGGACTCATTGTAGCTGGATATAGCTATAGATGCATACATACAGAAATAATTATGGATACATGTATACACAGGTTAGCATATTTTCAAGTTCTGTCAGCTAGAAGGCCATAGAAACAATGATGCCTCCATAACAATGAGCAGACACAGCGTCCACATGTTGACTTCTAATACCATTCTCCAATAAAAGATAACTAGGGCTCCTTGAGAAATGGCTGATTTTAGGGCTGGGAACAGAGAATACACAATATACAATATGAACCTGTTGGAGTATCATTTAAGGCCAGAGATTAAGAAAGTACTCAAAAAACAAAATTATGTTTCTTTATTCAAAGGAACACAGAAACCAACTGAATGAGCTCTCCAGGTCCAAAACTCACAATTTGAACAAGAAAACAGATAAAGTTGTATCAGATTACAACCTAAAGCATAAAATAAATATCCAGAAGTCAATATCGACAGGAATGAATGAATGAATGGGAGAGAGGAAACAAATCTGTTCATAATAACTGCTAATAATTTATGTAGAAAACATACCTTCAACAAGGTAAAGCATAAACTCCTACTCCTCCAGTGTGGGCTATGTATACTGTAATGTGTTGAACTGCTTCCCCCTAAATTCTTATGTTGAAGCCCTAAACCCACAAAGTGACTGTATTTGGAGATAGGTCCTTTAAGAAGGCAATTAAGGTCAAATAAAGTCACAAGGGTCAAGCCCTAATCCGATAGGACCAGTGCCCTTAAAAGAAGGGAACCAGAAACCAAAGTTCTCCCTGTCTCCCTCCATGCACACACAGAGAAGAGGCCGTATGAGGACACAGAGAGAAGGTGCCTTCTGCAAGAGGAGAGGCGCCTCACTAGGAACCCTGCTAGCACCTTGATCTTGGACGTCCAGCTTCCAGCCCTGTGCGAAAATACATTTCTTTTATTTAAGTCACCCAGACTGTGACATTTTTTATGGCAGCCCCCAGCAAACTAATATACACAGTGACTTCCTTCCAGAGCACCATATAGAAGAGGAAGGGGGAGGGCAGGTGTAAACCTGACAAACACTACCTCAGTCAGGTAAACACACTTAACATCAACAATGATAAGTCACGTTCACAGCAAGCAGTCCTAATATGTGATGAGAATGGTACTGTCACTCAGTGGTCTTCCTCTTCAAACCCCATAACCCCAGTATAATCACGAGAAAAACATCAGACACACCCAAATTGAGGGACAGTCTACAAAACACCTGATCAGTACTCCTCAAAACCATCAAGGTCACCAAAGACAAGGGACATCTGAAAAACGATCACAGCCAACAGTAGCCTAAGCAGACATGAAACTAAATGTAGTGTGGCATTCTGGAAGGGAACCTGGGACAGAAAAAGGGGACCTGGGAAAAAAACTAAGGAAATCCACATAAAGTATGGACTTTAGTTGGCAATAAGATATCAACACTGGTTTGCTAATTGTAACAACTGCGCCATATTGATCTACAATGCTAACAATAGGGGAAGCCAGGTGTGGGGTACACGAGGACCCTCTGTATCATCCTTCCGATTTTTCTGTAAAACTATTCTAAAGATAAAAAGGTTTTTAAAAAGTTAAGTGAATGTTTGCTCTATTCTACTTTCTCTTCCTTAAAAAAAAAACTGCCTTGCTTAATTTTATATCATTGTTTTAGAGATCAAATTGCAAAGGCAGTAAAACACATCTATGTATCTTAAAATTCAACTTAACTGAATTAGTCATGATTAAGCTAAAATTGTTCAACCTAAGAAACTAAAAATTAACAGTTAAAAAGCCTGAAAATATTGTATTGAGTGATTAAAATATTAAATACAAATAATTTATATAGGATAATACTACATTTTGTAAGTATATGTAGGATAAAAAGGGCTAAATTATACAAGACAATTAAAAGAGAGACTATTTAGACAGCAATAGCCAAATTAATGAAATAATATTGCAAATAGAAAAAACTTCACTGAAACAGTAATAGCCACATTCTTTGGTC